ACACACACACACACACACACACACACACACACACACACACACACACACAAAGAAAAAGAATAAAAAGCACTTAGCACACATGGGGCTCATTTTACTTTCTTTTTTTTTTTATGCATTTGATTTTTAAAAAATATATTTGAAGGAAAACAAATAAAAAACATGGGATTGTAGACCTTGAAACGATCTACAACCCTATATTTTTTACTTTATTTCTTGCCCACTTTTTCCCCGTGAAAGAAATCCTTGTGAAAAGAAAAACAAAAAAATATATTTTCATGATTTCATCTTCTTTTTTTCGGTTTTTGTATTTCTGTTTCTGTTTTTGATTTCTTAAAATTATATCTAAAGACGGGAAAAATAAATAAAAAATATAGGGTTGTATTACGTCAAACTGGCTTTTCAACGCCAGTTCAACGCRGATTCAACGCTCGTTAAATTCATTAACGCGKACCCCGCGTTGAATCCAAATCCAGACACTCAGCAAAGGAGAGTACCTGCAGGGGGTACTCGTGGTTAAAATATATTCTCCTGACTCMGCACACTAAAAATTTCACGCACTGCTGGTAGCCGTCCAGTCACYGGACGGCCAACCCTTCCCGTCGTCRGGGTGTACACCTCTGAAGGCGTYAATTGACGYCTTCAGCTGTGGTCATGAACAAAAGGAGTATGACTTGTGACTATGGTCATATTTCTGAATCCAACAGTTCCGGCGAGGTCCCACTTGTACGTACTACCAGATTTGCTCCGCAGATAATAGGCCTTGMCRCACCATGAGTCAAACACCAACATTTCGAATGTATTGGGGCTATGACAAGTCCCAATGCATTCAATATGTTGGTGTTTGACGAGTGGTCCGGGGAGGCCCGATGAAGATYGGCTGCCATTAACTTGCTTCTTACCTACCGTCTGACAGTATTGGTAGCTGGTGCTATGAAGACCTTTTGTTTTTCTCTTCTATTTTTGGTGCCATGGGACCTGGAATGGCCCACAGTCCACAATGCCCGAAGTCTGACAGGTCAACCCGGCAAGAGATTTCAGAGCTTTGCAGTGGTATCTTGCAGTCTGTTTGAGGCTTGTTGGAATCCCAACAGCTCATTTTTGTCTGTGAGTCTGTGTTGCATACTTGTGAAACACAGTCATAAGTATGGCGCAGATTCCCAGAACSGACCAGAKAATACAGAGCTGATACAAATACAGCGGAAGGGCATGRTACCTTTGGATTGACTCAGACCTGACTCGGACTGCAATCGAACAACTCTCATACATTCATCGGGTGTGAATGCCCTGGCCTTGAGGAGAGACGAAGGGCCAGGKACTGGAATCATACACGGACGAAGGGGGGAGAGGAGAGAGACGAAGGAGGAGGAGAGGGGAGATGATGTCAACTCAATGTTTCCAAAGATAGTAACTTGAACTGTCAGAAGTGACGAAAATCCGAAATGTCGTGCATACCAAGTCTCACAATCTCCCAGATGTCGATCTCACAATGTCAAGTACATCTCCGAAGGAGAGATGAAATCAGATCCCGAAATAGTCCTCAACTCGTACTCTCAATGTCGCTGTCTCAAATGTCATCAGAAATCGTAACCATCTCCATTACTGTAGTAGTAGTCCTGTAGGAGGAGTAGACTTAGACTGAGAAGGTAGGGGGAGAGAGAGAGAGAGAGGGAATCGAGGCGGATGGAACAGAGGGAGAGAAGGCAGAGCCTTCCTCCCGGTACCTGCTGGTAGCTATGGCGCGGCTGGGCCGCTGCGCTGTTCCTCTTGCCGCTGCGCTTGCTGTCTCCTGGCTGCTCTCGCTGCTGCAGCGCTGCGCTAATCTGCTTAACGCTTGGCTGCTCCACTTATCCTCCAGACTAACTCGTACCTACTAACCTCCCTACTGAGGCTGGTACCCAGCCTTTTGTAGTGCTGAGCCGGCCTCTTGCCTACGGGTACCTACTGGCCTGGACCGTTGATCTAGATCAACGGTCCAGTTTCGAAACTGGTTTGGCGCCTAAACTACGGCAGCCTCTGAACCGCTGCCGGTAGGTCCTAGGCTGGACCGGTACCGGCCTTGTGGCCGTTCGGCCTGGGCCTGCCTGAACCGCCGTGGTCCAGGCCCTTTTTAGCCTCATCTGAACTGGTGTCCCCTAGGCTAACCCTGCCTGTCTTGGAACCGGGCCCTTACTGGGGCCCGTATGGCTCAGTATGCCACACACTCCCCCCCTTGAAGGACCGAGCTAACTGCGAGGGTGAGGCTGTCTGTCCGATGTCCGTACAGGGAGGGCAGGTTGGGCAGCTTCCTTAGCAAGTCGCTGTTTTTCATAATGCGCGAAGATGAGGGGTGCTGATGCCTTCAGATCAGCTCTTGAGATCCAGCGTGTGTCATTCGGATCGCATTGCTTGAATGTAACTTTGTACTGCATAGGCTTGTTGCCATGCTTGCGATGCGTGAGAACCCGGTCGACCTCCTGATGGCCATCCATTGAAGGAGGGTCCTATGACCGTCTGCCCGGGAAGTCTGCTGCGGAGGCTGGAGTATAAACCACCAGCTTCAAAGCGTGAAAGATCGGGTGTACCGTCAAATGCGGGGGAATCTCAATGATGAATGATGGACCCGCGGGGTCGTCGCCAGCGGCTGAAGTGACCATCCATGGTCCAAACCACTTCAGGAGGAGCTTGCACGAGACGTCCTGCTCGAGCGCGAATTCCTCGGAGGTGACCCACAGTAGGTCGCCGGCTCAAATTGGACATGGGATGCGACGCCGGTTCGCTTGCTGCTGCATACGGACCTGAGCCTTTTGCATGTTAGCGCGGGCTTTGGCCAGCAGTTCCCTGTACTTCCGTGTAGAAGCGGGGGAGCAAGCGACGTCTATATCGGCAGCCCGTGGAAGAAAAATGTCTGCGAAGATACTTCCGTCCACCGTGGTGCAACTCGAATGGAGTCACGCCAATCGCCGGGTGCACCGAAGTGTTGTAGGCGAACTCGATGTCGGGAAGGCGGTCAACCCAGTCCTTCTGATCCGGGCGGATGAGTGTGCGGAGCATCATCTGCGCAGTCTGGTGCACACGTTCCGTCTGCCCATCCGTTTGAGGATGCCGTGCGGAGCTCGGTTTCATGCTGGTGCTGGATTCCACCATGAGTGTCATCCAAAAGGCTGACATGAAACGAGTGTCGCGGTCGCTGACGATGTCTTCCGAAACGCCGTGGCTGCAAAACCAGCCGGTATGCAAAAGTCGTGCGAGCTCGGGAGCCGTCGCATGATACTTGCATGGAAGAAATCGAGCGTACTTGCTCAAACGGTCAACGACCGTGAGAATACCATCATGACCAAGGCGATCACGAGGGAAAGGACCGGTCACATCCATAGCAATGGAGAGACCTGGTGCCCGATGTATCGGCAATGGTTTCAGTTCGCCGTACGGGAGCTGATGGCGCCCTTTATTCCGGTGGCAAACTGCACATGACTGAATGTACCGGTTGACGTCGTTGATGATGTTCGTCCAGGGAAAACGTTGGCGGAGTCGTGCTAGTGTGCGTGCGACGCCAAGGTGTCCTGCCAGCCGCGAATCATGGTATTCGCCAAGGAGGCGAGTGCGCAAGATGCGGTCTTGGGGAACTCACAACAAGTCCTTGCCTTGCGTATGGAGGAGCAAGTAGCCGTCGGTGATGCGATAGTTGCTTGTCGGCGGTTGGTCCGATGATAATTCTGCGTAGAGTGTGGAGAATCCCGGATCCGACTTGTAGCCGTTTACGAAATGTTGTTGGAGGTCCTCGTCGAGGCCGAACGTGGAGTGTACCATGGCGCAAAGATCGGGTGTTCGCGAGAGAGCATCCGCCGCCTTGTTCGAGGAGCCCAGAATGTGCTTGGAGGTGAAGTCGAACTGGTCAATGAAATACATCCACCGACCGATCGTGCTGCTCACCATATCTTGCGTCTTGTAATATGTCAACGGATTGTTGTCCATTGCCCACGTGAATCGCCGACGCCCGAGGAGAAAGTGACGCCAACGCTTAAGTACGGAGACAAAAGCTAGGAGTTCCCTCTTCCTCGCATCATCAAGAGTGTTCATGGGTGGCACCTTTTGGCTGACATACTCAACCGGATGCCAGTCTGTGTCATCGTGCTGTTCCAAAACCGCGCCAATGTCGTAACCGGAAGCGTCCGTAGTCAGTTTGGTAGGCAACGTCAGGTCATAGATGCTTAGGACGGGAGCTTGAAGCAAAGCCGTCTTAAGTGTGTGAAACGCATGCCGGGCCTCATCGCTGAACTCGAAAGGCACCACGGGGACTGAAGTCGTGACAATGGTGCAGCGATGCGTTGAGATCCTTTGACGAAGCGCATGTAGTACGATGCCAAGCCGAGAAAGGAGCGGACGTCGGTAGCACACTTGAGGTCCGACCAATCTTGAATAGCTTGTAACTTGTTCGCAAGCGGACGAATGCCTTGCGGCGTGACGTAATGGCCCAAGTATTCCAGTTCTTGCTGGACAAACTCGCACTTGTCGCGGTTTGCCTTGTACTTGGCGATACGAAGCCGCTCCAATATGGCGGGAAGTTGCTCGAGATGCTCGTCCAGCGACCGACTATAAACCAAGATGTCATCGAGGTAAATGAGTACGGAGCGGTCGAGCAGGTCGCGAAATTCCGTTGTCATAGCCGCTTGGAAAGTAGCCGGGGCATTGGTGAGACCGAAAGGCATGACGATCCACTCAAAATGCCCATACCGCGTCTTGAATGCGGTCTTGTACTGATCTCTTGGCTGAATCTCGATCTGGTGATAACCGGACTTGACGTCTAGCTTGGAGAAGTACTTGGCGTTGCCGAGTCGCTCGAGAAGATCATCGATCCGAGGGAGAGGGCCGGCGCTCTTGATCGTTTGTGCGTTGAGTTTACGATAGTCGATGCACAACCGAAGGTCCTTGTTCTTCTTCCGGACGAAGAGAACGGGAGCACCGTATGGCTAGGGCGAATCCAGCCCTTGGCCAAGAGGTCGTCTAGTTGTGCTCGAAGCACTTGAAGCTCCTCTTCGCTCATGCGGTAGATACATCCGCGCGGAGGTACGGCGCCGTCCTCGAGAGTGATCCCGTGATGTATGGGCCGATCCGGTATGACTCCGACGGGAGCTTGGAAGACATCCCCATAGTTGTCCAACAGCTCAATGATGTGTGGGTCCGACCTATCCGTCTTGGGCTGATCACCGGGTGGTAGGGCGTGAAGAAAACATATGCCCATCTCCTCGATGTCGTTTTGCCGGATGGATTGGCGAATGCTCGCCGCGGATACCACGTGACAACCAATCGAAGGATGAGGAAGCGGCACCGTACACAGGACTAGTTCGCCATGCCGATCACGAACGTGAACGGTGCGGCGATGGAAGTTCACCGGATGGTCTTCGCTTTGCAGCCACGACATGCCTAGGATCATATGGAACTTGGTGTCCAATATGTCGAAGGACACGGCCTCGCTTGCTAGCGGGGCGAAGTACACGGGCACCGAGTCAACGCATCGGTCGATTGACTTTTACGTGTGACCATCGGCCAACGTGACATGCGTAGGCTGACGTTTCCTTCGGACGTGCGGGCCTAGCCCGGCACGTGCCATGAAGTCTTGGCTGATGTAGTTGCGAGTCGCTCCACAATCGATCAAGGCACTGCAGGTCGCCTTTCCGATCTGACTGCGGATGTAGAGGAGCGGTGCGTCGGTGTCGACGTACCGTTGCGTTGCGTACTCGCGGTCAATCTTCGCGAGAAAATTGCAAAGGTCAACAACCTCTACTCCGCCGTCCGTCGACGGAGGTGGTACTGCAGCGTGTAAGTATTCGCGTAGATGTGCCATTAAGGCATTGCAATGCGGAGTTGGCAAAGAACCGGTGGAGGGCAGAAGCAACCATTGGAAGTCCTCAACCGTCAACGGGTCGAGATCCTCAAGTCTCGCCCAAGTTGACGAATCCTCCGATAAGATGGCTGGCGAAGCCACCGGTTCATTGTCTGACGGCGGAACTGCCGCGCATATGCTTGAATCTTGCACGTGGACAGGCTGGTTCATCGGTGGGACCAGCTCGACAACATAGTTCTCGTACTCAACGCGAGAACTTGCGACTGCCGCGGTGTCCCCAGATGTGAGAGAGGCTGCTAGCAAGGCAGCCGACTCCGGCGGACTGGGAAGTGTTGTCGCTGCACTTCCCGCGGTGCTCAGTTTCCGGAGCCAGGACGCTTGACATTTTCTTTGTCCTTGTCGAGGCATGCACTGGTGATGTGCTTGGTGCTATTGCACCACAAACAACATCCCCATTTCTGTCGCAACTTGAACATGTCCTCGGTAATCCCGAACTTTGTCCATGGTGCCTGTCGTGCTCCATCCGCCGACGCTGGTTTCGCCTTCTGTTTTCCCCCTCGGGGTTTTGAGCGTTGCGGTGGTATCGCTGCCGCCACATCTCCGTCACTTGATGTCGAAGAGGCTGCGTAGTCCTCACTTTGTCCTTGCTGGACTGCTGCTACTTGCGGCGTCCGTTGACCTTTTCCTTTCTCCACGTAACCGGGCTGATGACGAGTCTCATTAGCCGCACGCCGGTTACCTTGTATAAGCTCTCTGGCTTTGGCGATCATGTCATCAAAGTTCTTATACTCGTATTCGCTGCCGAGAGCAGCAGTGAAGGCGTCGCAGGATCGGGCGAAGAATTCGCCTCGGATCGAGTCGAACGGTAGGTTCAACTCCGGGGTGGCGACGAGTCTTTGCCAGTCCGTCAGCCATTCCCACGAAGGTTGCTGGCCTTGGAAGATGTGGAAGATCTTGTTCAAGGCGTGACGCTTGTCATTGTTCACCATGAACCGGGTTTTCCATTTCTTCTCAAACTCCTCCCACATGATCTTCGTGTGGAGGGTGGCGATGGTACACTCAAGCGCCGCGGCCATGTGTGCCATGAATGCTTGCGCTCCGCCTATAAGTTGGAGGTACAATGCATCCAGCCGCCGTAGGGGCGGAGTATGATGCACGTCGGCCTCTGCGTTGAATGCCATCCACCATTGCAGCGGATCGGTCTTGTGATAGTCGTCAAACTTCTTGATTTTGAAGTTCGACATCTTCCATTCCTTGGCGACGGCGACCGGACGTTGGTCGACACAGTCGCTGAGCATCTGCAGCTGATTGCTGACTGTAGAGACTCCTGCAAACTTGCTGATGTCGCCCAGGGATGCGAGTAAATGATTGACCCGCTCTTCCAATTGCTTTGCCTGTGCGGTCAAAGCTGGGCTGCAGTCGACTGTTGCAGTGCCCGTTGACGCAGCTGCTGACAGCTGTGCCAACCCGTTGCTGACATCTGCCTGCAGCTGGTGGTTGAGTGTCTGCTGTTGGCTGTTGGCGGCATGTAGTGTCCTGTTCTCGGCCTGCAGCGACGTGATCCTGTTATCCATTGCCTTGAGTGTTGTTTCATGGCGGATGAGGACCTGCCGCATGGCGAGCAGTTCGCGTTGCTGCCAATTGCATGTGTTCAGCAGATTCTCCATCAGAACTGCTATTCCTACTTTATCTGCTTCCTCCGTGGTTGGCTCTTGCCGTTCTTGGGTTTCATGGAAATGCTGTCGGCGAAGTAGCCTGCCATAGGTGGCTTCATCGCGAGTCAGATCCATAGTGGCTTGGTAACGACCCTGGTTCTGATCTGCCTCGACCTGCTGCTGTTGCAACCGTGCGGCTGCTGCAGCTTCTGCTGCGGCCTGCTGACATCCTGCCTCTGCCTCTGCCAGCTGGCGTTGAATCTCCTGCTGGCGGGCGGCTTCCTCTTCTTCCCACTTGCGTTGTTCAGCAGCCGTCGTCTCGGAATACTTCTGGAGACGGTCTAGGAACGCTAGGAGCGGTTCATCGGCCTGCTGAACTGGGAGAGGAGGTGGAACCGGCCTCTTGGGGCTGGTTGGTGCACTCTTGTCAGAGGTGGCA